CGCGCTGACATGGGCGGCGCGGTGTTCCCGTGGCGCAGCGCCAACCGTTTCGAGTTGTTGATCGACGGCCCGCAGTTTTTTCCGCAGATGCTGGTGGGCATTGCCCGCGCCGAACGGCAAGTGGATCTGGAGTTGTACCTGGTAGAGGCCGGCGCGTGCGCCGAGGCAATGGTGCAAGCGTTGGTGCTCGCCGCCGAGCGCGGTGTGCGCGTGCGGTGCCTGTTCGATGACTACGGCAGCCTGGCGTTTACCCTGTCGCTGCGCAAGCGCTTGACCGACGCGGGCGTGGAGCTGCGTTTTTACAATCGCCTGAGCTGGCGTCGCTGGATGCGCAACCTGTACCGCGACCACCGCAAGCTGTTGCTGATCGACCAGCATGTGGCGGTGGTGGGTGGCACGGGCGTGACGGACGAGTTCTGGACACCGGGCCACGACACGGCCGAGTGGCATGAAGTGATGGTGCAGATCAGCGGCCCGCTGGTATTGGATTGGCAGGCATTGTTCGACCGCCAATGGCACGCCAACGCGGCGCGCCGCGCGTGGAAACCGGCGACCCATTTTGGCTTGCCGCGTCTGCCCAAAGTGCCCGCCAGCGGGCCGGGGCTTGGCCGCGTCGCGTACGCCGACGCCCGCCAGCACCGCGATATTCTGCAATCGTTGATCCGCGCGCTGAACAACAGCCACCAGCGCATCTGGCTGGCCACTCCCTATTTCCTGCCGACCTGGGGCGTGCGGCGTGCCTTGCGCCGAGCGGCGGGGCGCGGCGTGGACGTGCGTTTGCTGCTCACCGGGCCGCGCACCGATCACCCGTCCGTGCGCTACGCCGGGCACCGGTATTACCCGCGTTTGCTGCGTTCAGGCGTACAGATCTTTGAATACCAGCCGTGCTTCCTGCACCTGAAGATGGTGCTGGTGGACGACTGGGTAAGCATCGGCTCGTGCAACTTCGACCACTGGAACCTGCGCTTCAACTTGGAAGCCAATCTGGAAGCACTGGACCCCGAGCTGACCCAGGCGGTGGTGGCGAGTTTTGAGCGGGACTTTGCCCAGAGCCAGGCGGTGAGCCTGGAGGCGTGGAAGGCACGGCCATTGTGGCGGCGGGTCAAGCAGCGTGTCTGGGGGTGGATAGATCGGTTGGTGGTGAACTTGCTGGACCGGCGAGGCTAGCAAGAACACTGAGATCAAATGTGGGAGGGGGCAAGCTCCTCCCACATTTTTTGACCGGGTCAGGCTTAGAGCAGTTCGAAGCTCTGTTGCTGTACATCCTGAGAGTCCAGGCCGATCTGCACATTGAACTCGCCCGGTTCAGCGGCGTACTTGAGCTGTGTGTTGTAGAACTTCAAGTCGTCTTCGGTGATGGTGAAGTGCAGCGTGCGCTCTTCACCGGCCTTGAGCATGACTTTCTGGAAGTTCTTCAACTCCTTGATCGGGCGGATCATCGAGCCGGCCACGTCCTGGATATACAGCTGCACCACGGTTTCGCCGTCGACCTTGCCGGTGTTTTTCACGGTGACGCTGGCGTCGAGCTTGCCGGTCTTGTTCAGGGTGGTGGACGACAGGGCCATGTCCGACAGGCTGAACGTGGTGTAGCTCAGGCCATAACCAAACGGAAACAGCGGCCCGGTGGTGTCATCGAAGTACTGCGAGGTGTAGTTGCCCGGTTTGCCCGGTGTGAAGGGGCGGCCGATGGTCAGGTGGTTGTAGTAGGTCGGAATCTGCCCCACCGAACGTGGGAAAGTGATCGGCAGTTTGCCCGACGGGTTGTAGTCGCCGAACAGCACATCCGCAATTGCATTACCGCCTTCGGTGCCGGCGAACCAGGTTTCCAGAATCGCATCGGCCTGTTGGTTCTCTTCCAGGATCGACAGCGGGCGGCCGTTCATCAGCACCAGGACCAGCGGTTTGCCGGTGGCCTTGAGCGCCTTGATCAGATCGCGCTGGCTTTGCGGGATGTTCAGGTCGGTGCGGCTCGACGACTCGTGGGACATGCCACGGGACTCGCCCACTGCGGCGACGATCACGTCGGCCTGCTTGGCCGCTTGGACCGCCTCGTCGATCATGGCCTGGGGCGAGCGCTTGTCATCCACCACTTCCGGCGCATCGAAGTTAAGGAAATTGAGGTAATCGACTACGGCTTTGTCGTTGGTGATGTTGGCGCCGCGGGCGTAGATCACTTTGCCTTTTTCACCGATCACGGCGTTGAGGCCGTCCTGCAGAGTCACCGATTGCGCCGGGCGGCCGGCGGCGGCCCAACTGCCCATCATGTCGATAGGCGCCTTGGCCAGTGGGCCGACCAGGGCGATGGTGGCGGATTTCTTCAGGGGCAGGGCGTCGTTGTGGTTCTTCAACAGCACCAGGCTGCGCCGGGCGATGTCGCGCGCTTCGGCGCGGTGCAGGCGGCTGTCGGCATAGGTGTCGACCGGGTCGTCCTCGGCCTTGCCGATGCGCAGGTACGGGTCCTTGAACAGGCCCATGTCGTACTTGGCGCCGAGCACTTCGCGCACGGCGTTGTCGATGTCGCTCTGTTCGATCTCGCCGGACTTGAGCAGCCCCGGCAGTTCCTTGCCGTACAGCGAGTCGTTCATGCTCATGTCGATGCCGGCCTTGATCGCCAGCTTCGCGGCTTCACGCCCGTCCTTGGCTACGCCGTGTTTGATCAGTTCGAAGATCGCGCCATGGTCGCTGACGGTCAGGCCCTTGAAGCCCCAGTCCTTGCGCAGCAGGTCGTTCATCAGCCAGGTGTTGGCGGTGGCGGGCACGCCGTTGATCGAGTTGAGCGCCACCATCACACCGCCGGAACCGGCCTTGATCGCGGCGTGGTAGGGCGGCAGGTAATCCTGGTACATCTTGACCGGGCTCATGTCGACCACGTTGTAGTCGCGACCGCCTTCCACCGCGCCGTACAGGGCGAAGTGCTTGACGCTGGCCATAAGGCTGTCGGCATTGGCCGGGCTGGTGCCCTGGAACGCCTTGACCATCACTTCGACGATGCGCGAGACCAGGTAAGTGTCTTCGCCGAAGCCTTCGGAGGTGCGGCCCCAGCGCGGGTCGCGGGAGATGTCGACCATCGGCGCGAAGGTGATGTCGAGGCTGTCGGCCGCGGCTTCCTGGGCGGCGATGCGCCCGGAGCGGCCGATGGCATCCATGTCCCAGCTGGAGGCCAGGGCCAGGCTGATTGGGAAAATGGTGCGGTGGCCGTGGATCACGTCGTAGGCGAAGAACATCGGGATCTTCAGGCGGCTGCGCATGGCCGCGTCCTGCATCGGACGGTTTTCCGGGCGGGTGATGGAGTTGAACGTGCCGCCGATGCGGCCGGCGGCGATTTCCTTGCGGATCAGCTCGCGGGGCATTTCGGGACCGATGCTGATCAGGCGCAATTGGCCGATCTTCTCATCCAGGGTCATCTGCTTGAGCAGGTCGCTGACGAAAGCGTCCTTGTCCTTAAGCGCAGCAGGCTTTGTTTCTGCCCATACGGGGTGACTGGCCAGAGTGGCAACAAGGCCGAGCAAACACAGCTTTTTCATGAATATCCTTTTTCGGCTCACTGCACAGCGCTTGCGCTGATCGGCCAAAATGTGGGGAGCGTCTATTGTTGTTCGGGCGTTGTTCAGATAAATGCAGCACACTCTGAACTCTTATTCGCGCTGGGCATCTTTGTAGCTGATTGGCTCGATGCGTACCAGTGGTGGCGGATTATGCCCCAAGCGCGCGGTTTATAGGGCAGGTCATCCAATTCCATCCAGTTTGGGCAGGAGATACACCATGCAAGCAGCACAGGTTAACCGCTGGGGCCTCAAGGCCGCGGCTCTGCTATTGATCAGCACGGTGCTGAGCGGTTGCGGCATCAACAACATTCCCACCCTGGACGAGCAGGCCAAAGCAGCCTGGGGCCAAGTGCAGAACCAGTACCAACGTCGTGCCGACCTGATCCCCAACCTGGTGGAAGTGGTCAAGGGCTATGCCGCCCATGAGCAGGACACCCTGACCGCCGTGATCGAAGCGCGGGCCAAGGCCACGTCGATCCAGGTCGATGCCAGCACCCTGGACAACCCGGAAAAACTCAAGCAGTTCCAGCAGGCCCAGGACGGTTTGAGCGGCGCCCTCAATCGCTTGATGGTGGTCTCCGAACGCTACCCGGATCTGAAAGCCAACCAGAACTTCCTGGCCCTGCAATCTCAACTGGAAGGCACCGAAAACCGCATCGCCGTGGCGCGCCGCGACTTTATCCAGGCCGTGCAGGCGTACAACACTGAGATCCGCACCTTCCCGGGCCGCCTGTGGCACAGCGTGATGTACAGCGATTTGCCGATCCGCGCCACGTTCGAAGCCACCAGTGCCGATGCCGATAAAGCGCCGCAAGTGAAGTTCAAATAAGGCTGCACTGAGGTGTCGATGCGTTTATTAAGGATAGGCCTGGCGCTGTGGCTGTTGGCCTGCGTGGGCGTGGCCCAGGCGGCGTTGACCTTCCCGGCGCTGACCGGGCGGGTGGTGGATAACGCCCAAATGATCGACCCGGCGGTGCGCGCGCAGTTGACCCAGCAGTTGCAGGCGCTGGAGCAGAAGAGCGGCGATCAGATCGTGGTGGTCACCGTACCTGACCTGCAAGGCGTGCCGATCGAGGACTTCGGTTATCAATTGGGGCGCCAGTGGGGCATCGGCCAGAAGGGAAAGGACAACGGCGCGCTGTTGATCGTCGCCCGCGATGAGCGCAAGTTGCGCATCGAAGTCGGTTACGGCCTGGAAGGTGTACTGACCGATGCGCAGTCCTGGGTGATCATCAACCAAGTGATCGCGCCCAAGTTCAAGGCCGGCCAGTACAGCCAGGGCATCAGCGACGGTGTGGCTGCGATGATCCAAGTGGTCGGCGGTGAACCGCTGGCGGTGCCGGCCCATGTGGCGGATGGCAACTTTGCCAAGGATAATCCGCGGCTCTCCATTGGCCTGTTCGTGTTGCTGATCGGCGTGTTGTGGCTGTGCAATCGCTTGGGCCTGCCGGTGGGTGCGATCCTGTTGGCGATCCTCAGCAGCAGCGGACGTGGCGGCGGTGGCGGCGGCGGAGGGGGCGGTGGTTTCCGGGGCGGCGGCGGTGGCTTCGGCGGCGGCGGGGCCTCGGGCGGATGGTAATGACAATAACGAGAAAAGAGCATCTACAACCATGGCACTACTGAGTGAACACGAACAACGCCAGGTCGCCGAAGCGATCGCCCGGGTCGAGCAGCAGACCGACGCCGAGCTGGTGACGGTGCTGGCCGCCCGTGCCGATGACTACGCGTACATCCCGTTGTTGTGGGCCAGCCTGATCGCCCTGGTGGTGCCGGGCGTGGTGCATTACCTGTCCGGCTACCTGACCATGTACACCTTGCTGTTGGCGCAGTGGGCGACGTTCATTGTGCTGTGTCTGGTGTTTCGCTTGCCCAAAGTCACCACGCGCCTGATCCCACGCTCGGTGCGGCATTGGCGCGCGTCCAATCTGGCGCGTCGGCAGTTTCTGGAGCAGAACCTGCACCACACAGTGGGCAGTACCGGGGTGCTGATTTTTGTCAGCGAGGCTGAGCGCTACGTGGAAATCCTGGTGGATGAAGGCATTTCCAAGCGCCTGGACGACAGCCGTTGGGACGCCATCGTCCAAGCCTTCACCCAGCAGGTCAAACAAGGCCAGACCCTGGCCGGGTTCATTACCTGCATCGAAGCCTGTGGCGAGTTGCTCAAGGTGCATGTGCCGGTGACCCAGGCGCGCAATGAACTGCCCAATCGCCTGGTGGTACTTGAGTAGCCCAAACACCGCGATCAAAAAGTGTGGGAGGGGGATTGTCCCCTCCCACATTTAGCCCCAGCAGTGTTCAAGTGCAGTACCGTTGATCAAATAACTCCGTGCCCTGAGCCTCCATCCCCCCTAAAATGCCCGGCATTCCCAGCCCGAGGCGTTTTTGTTCATGTCCGTCACCGCTCAACCCGCCCGCCCTGCGCCGGATCATCACGCCCAGTTCATCGAACTGCTCGGCGAAAGCCTCGCGCACAATGCCTTTATCAAGCTGGTGCTGGCCAAGTACGTCGGTGACGAAGCCGAGCTGCAACGGCTGATTATCAAACCGGTGACTGTCAAGGAGCAGGCGTGCCTGTCCTTTGTGTACCGCTACAAAACCCGCGACATCACCAAGAACCTGCCCGTAGCCGAAGGCGTCGCGGCAATTGCCGCACTGTTGCCGACGTCGTTCAAGAACGCGCACTTGCTGGCGCTGACCGACGAAGCCCAGCTGGAGTACAGCAAGAAGAACAAAGTTCGCTGTTCAAGAGCAAGCCGCAGCAACTGCGTGAGGCGCCGTCGGCCGAGCATAACCGCGAAAAAAATCGCTTTCTCGACCTGAGCCGGCCGTTTCTGGCCGACCTGGGCGTGACCGATGCCAAGCAGGCGCTGATCCCATCGATGTCGCGCAAGTGGAAACAGATCAACAAATTCATCGAGGTGTTCAGCCATGCGCTGACCTCGTCGCCGCTGAAACTCGATCAGCCGGTGCGGGTCGCCGATTTCGGTTCGGGGCAAGGGCTACCTGACGTTTGCCATCCACGATTACCTGCGCAATACCCTCAACGCTGAAGCCCAGGTCACCGGCGTCGAACTGCGCGAAGATATGGTGACCCTGTGCAACAGCGCGGCTGCACGCCTGGAACATCCCGGGCTGGTGTTCAAATGCGGCGATGTGCGCAGCGTGGCGCCCAGCGAGCTGGACGTGATGATCGCGCTGCACGCCTGCGACATCGCCACTGACTATGCGATCCACACCGGCATCCGTTCCGGCGCATCGATCATCATGTGCTCGCCGTGCTGCCATAAGCAGATCCGCCTGCAGATCCAGAGCCCGGCGCTGCTCAAGCCGATGCTGCAATACGGTCTGCACCTGGGCCAGCAGGCGGAAATGGTTACCGACAGCCTGCGTGCGCTGTTCCTCGAAGCCTGTGGTTACGAGACCAAAGTGTTCGAGTTCATCTCGTTGGAACACACCAACAAGAACAAGATGATCCTGGCGGTCAAACGCGCCGAGCCGGTGGATAACGCCTCGTTACTGGAGAAAATCCAGGCCCTCAAGGCGTACTACCACATCACCGAACACTGCCTGGAAACCCTGCTGCGCGCGGATGGTTACCTGGGCACCCGCCGTTAAACTGCGCTGGGCTTGGGCACTGGCGCAGGCTGCACCGCTGTCTTGCGCCCCAGCATCACCGTCACGATCACCCCGCAGGCGAACACCCACGTAATCGGCTCGATCTGTTCGCCGAAGAACAGCGCCGAGAACGCAATGGTGAAGAAGATCTGCAGCAGTTGAATCTGGCTGACCCGTGCGATGCCGCCCATGGCCAGCCCGGCGTACCAGGCGAAGAAACCGAGGAACTGCGAGAACAGCGACACATAGCCGAACGCCCACCAGGTGCGCGCCGAGATCGCGCCCTGATGCTGCGCCGCCAGGTACCACACCGGGCCGATCAGCAACGGTGTCGACAGCACCAATGCCCAGCAGATCACCTGCCAGCCGCCCATCTCCTTGGCCAATCGGCCGCCTTCGGCATATCCCAAGCCGCCCACGGCAATGGCGCCGAGCATCAGCAGGTCGCCGGCTTGAATACTGCCGGCGCCGGTAATCAGCGCATAGCTGAGCACCAGCCCACTGCCCAGCGCCGCGCAGGCCCAGAAGGCTTTGGACGGTCGTTCATGGGACAGCCACGCCGCATACAGCGCCACGCACAAGGGTTGCAAACCGTTGACCAGTGCACCGTGGGACGCCGGTAAGGTTTGCATGGCCCAGGCCGACAACACCGGAAAACCCAGGATCACCCCGGCGATCACCAGGCAAAGGCCGCGCACTTGACGCAAGTGGGCCAACGCTCGCGGCGCCACAGCAACAGCGCTGCCGCCGGCACCGCAGCGAATAACGCGCGACCCAGGCCGTTGAGCAACGGGTGGATGTCCTGCACCACGATGCGGGTGAAGGGCAGGGTCAGGCTGAAGATGATGACGCCCAGCAGGCCGAGGGCCATGCCGGTGTTTTCGCGCGAACTCATAAGGGGGGCCGGAATTCAGAGGGCTTCATGGAATGCCCATCTAGCCACAACCCCCGCCGATCACGGGCCTACAGCTGCGTGCGGATTTATCCGTACAGTTGTTCAGAAAAAAACGCGTGACGCTGATCTTCGCATCGCGGCCCTTGTGTAGGCCCGATCGCCGCTCAGGGCCGGGCGGTAGTTATTGTTGAACATATTGTCGAGGGTGAAGTTGACTTCGGTGCCCTTGAGGTAAGCCTGCTGCGGTTTCCATTTGGCGAACAGGCCCTGGGTGTTGTAGCGCTTGTTGTTGTATTGGTCGTAAAAGGTATCGCCGACGCTGCTGCCGGGGCCGCCGGAGTATTTGTCGCTGGGCAGGCGGTCGGTGGCGCCGATGAACTGGCCCATCCATCCCACTTGGGCATCCCACGCCGGAATATGGGTGCCGAGCACCAGTACCCATTTGGTCGGCGGGATGTCCCGCGCCGATACGTTCGGCCCCCAAGGGTTGGTGTAGGCGCCTTCATGCTGGCCGGTGGTGTAGGCGTAGGACACCGAACCGAACAGGTACGTGGAGTTATAGAACGATTCCACCTCGAAACCCTTGATGGTCACGCCGCCGATATTGCGGTAGTTGGACATCGGCCCCGGCGGGCAGGCCGTGGAAATCGTGCCGCCATTGATTGCCTGGTTCTGGCAGCCGACGCCGGTGGCCTTGAAGATTTCGTCTTCGACTTTGTTGTGGAACAGCGTGGTACGCACTTGCAGGCTGTGTCCTGGGCGATCAGGTTATCGAA